AGAATGCACATTGTCTGTCGAGATTCTACTCGCACTGCATTGTCCATTCTGTCCTTTTCATCACATTGCAGATCCTCGGTTATTACGTACATCACATATCTGTGCATGTAACAGTTGGTATCGGAGCTTTGCACGTGAATTAGGACAACCTGATCTGACACGTGTGCGGGGACTAATTAGCTGGTTAGTCTTTATTGATTGATTAGAACACAATAGTTAGACCCCAAAATCACGATTTTGACCTCACTACCGAAAATCGATTTTTTTTTTCTTTTCTTGGATTTTATTTTCTCGCTGTTCTGTTGTAGAAAATCGCAATATCGCAACATCTGAAATTTCCATTTTCGTTTTTCTTCTGAAAATTCGAAATTTCGCTGTTGAAAATCCAGAATATATATTTTTTTGAAAATCTCGATTTCCTGTTGCATTTCCCGTTACTTAGAAATTCGGAATATTTTCTTTTATGAAATTCGTTTTTCTGAAAACAGTACGGGAAATCCCTCCTGCGGTATTATTTTCCAAACTGCAAATATTCCCATCGGAATAAATCCGAATACTGGTCATTTCTGTTTGGAATTTTTTTCGCAGTTCTAGGATTCTGTCATTCAGTTCTATAAATCATTTGCAGTCTAAAGTCGAAATTTTTTCTTTCAGTGATCATTTCGGACTTCAAGGGAGGTTGGGAGACCTACCGAACTTGCAAAAAACGGGATTTTATTTTTCCCGAAATTTTTTTTTGCAAAGTTCAAACTTTTCTTGTTTGATTAGTGGCTCCTTATCTAAGTGATTAGTTGGGCGATTATCCCACCCACCCCTCCCCACCTATGTTGTTGCCATCGCTCGCCTTTCCGTTTCTGTTTGTATCTGGGTACCCCCTGCGGCGACATTGGTGAGTTGCCACATCAGCAGGCCACGTCAGCAGACCACGTCAACAGGCCACGTTAACAGGCCACGTCAGCAGACTATGTCAGTACGTCAACAGACCACATCAGCAGGCTATGTCAGCAGGACACGTCAGCAGGACACGTCAGCAGTACCATGTCAGCAGCAAGGGATACCACATCAGTAGGCCCCGCCCTGGTCTATGCTATTGCGGTCTCATACAGCAGTCAGTGGACGAGGCCTATCAGGCCCGCATGCTGGCCTGGAGTACGGAGACAAAGAAACGGGCAGATGACGCTGCCGCAGCAGCGAAGAAGAAGGCAGAGGATGCCGAGCAGGCACGTCTGCTGGCACTTGAACAACAGCGCCAGCATGACGAGGCAGCAGCAAGGGCTGCCGATGAAGAAAGGAACCAGCGTCGCGAGAAGATATTTACCGGAGAGCGGGCGTTACTTACAATGGCAGCGGAATGGCGGACCGAAGCGGAGGATGGCAAGTTGGAGGATAGCGCAAACAAGATCGCGCTCCTCCTCTCGCACCTCACAGACCTCCTGGCAACCTGCATTACACAGCAGGCGGAGATCCTCGGTCTCAACACCTCGCTAGCTCACGTCCAAGACCGCCTTCAACGGTTGGAGCAACGACCAGTCACCGCCGCCGACGCAAGCTCTTCCAATACTGCCGACCGCCTCAACGCATTGGAGATGGACGTCGGCTCACTCAAGGATGGCTTGCTACTACAACAGACCGCGACGCAACAGTTGCAACAACGGATCTGCACTACTGCCACCACCTCGAGTTCAGAACCGCGCGAGTCAACTCCAAAGTTCGACGGGCAGGAGATCTTCTGCGACTCAATGAAGACAGATCCGATTCCATGGTTTCGCAAGTTCGAGCTCACGCTGCAGCTGTCCAACGTCAAAGAACACAAGCACCACGCATACTTGTACTCTCGTTCAGGGGGCGCGTGCCAGGCTTGGTTGGACAACCTCTTGTCCAAGTACGGAGTAGTAGCAGCGGACTTGCACACCAAGATCAGTTGGGATGGTCTGAAGGCGGCGTGGCACAAGCGGTTCCAGGTGGAGCCGCTAGAGATCAAAGCCATGGACAAGCTCATGGTCTTCGAGCAAGGCATGCTGCCGACTACGGACTGGATCGTCGAGTACCAACGCTTGACGTCAGTCCCAAACATCCAGATGGGCTTCAAAGCCATCCGCCATTATTTCATCTCAAGGTCATGTCCGACATTAAGCAATGCCCTAAAGCATGTTGAGGACACCTTGACGACGACGGCGGAATTGTTTGACAAAGCGGCGCAGATCATCATCACGAACAAGGAGGCCAAGAACCTCCGTTCATCTGCGTTAGGCCCGAGCAGGGACCAACATCGGCCAGGAGTGGTCGTGGTCGCAGCGGCAGCGCCGTTGGACCAAATCAGCGAGGCTGTGTCTGCCGGTGAAGGGGACAGACTCGCAGCCGCCCGGGAAGGTGGCCGCCCCGGCAGAGGCCGAGGACGCGGCAAGACGAAGACACACACCGCATCTAGCCCCGGGCCCGGTGCAGCAGCTCAGACAGGCCCATGGACCCAATATGGCATCTCCGAGTCCGCATTCAAGGCGTGCGAGAGATTCCACTATTGCCTTTGGTGCAACAATGATCTTCATCAGACGCAAGGTTGCCCATTGAAAGGCAAGGGCAGACAGGGAAACTGCGCACCGTCGAGAGTGGCTCGACGACACTCTCCACGCCTTTGGAACTGGTTTCTTCGCGAGTAACCGGCCTTCATTCCAGGCGCACGCGGAAGTCGATAGTCCTCCTCTTCTACTTTCTTTTGAGGACTATGCTGCTCGGCTCGTTCCTACGCTGGGTACTCAAGCTCAAGGACAAGGAGTGTGTGCGGTTTCTTCTCCGTCCGGCAACGGCGACATATCGTCTTCAAGTCGTTCATCACGGGATTCGGCATGCGAGTTCAACATAGAGGCATTGGACCCGCTCACGTCTGAGGACTTTGCATGGCTTCCTCTCCCGACCACAGGCCGCTTGCCGGGACCGCAATGCGCAACACTTAGCACTAATCTTCACACTTACTTATCCTTCTACGCACCACCAACTTCGCCAGCGGATGATGAGGTTGCGGTGGGGGACATCCTGGCATATACTACCAAGGTGGCCCGCGAGTTAAGCACGCAGCGGTACGATGACAACAACACACCGCTCATGTATGTCCGCATTCAGGTTGGGCAAGCATCCTGCAACGCTTTGCTGGATAGCGGCGCGTCTCGCAATTTCATGAGCCAATCCTTTATGCAAAGGGCTGGCCTTGGCGCACAAGTTCGGAGGAAGGCAAACCCGATGGCGATCAAGTTGGCGGATGGAAAGACGCAACAACTTCTCAACCGTTACATCGAGGTTGTACCGGTCTACTTCGCACCTCATGCATGCGAACCGGTGACATTCGATATTCTCGACACGGACCTCGACATCATTCTAGGAATGCCTTGGCTTGCAAGTGCGGATCACACGGTCAACTTCCATCGGCGGACTCTTAGCGTTCGCGACGCCTTCGGTGTGGAAGTGGCGTGTACGATTCCTCTACCGCACACTTCAATCCGATGCCAAGTGGTGACGGCCAAATCATTCAGGGCGACTTGCGCTTACGAGCAGCCCGAGGAGATCGGCCTATGTTTCCTACGGACCGTCGCGGTAGCCGACTCTTCACCCACGGACTTGTCTTCGGACCCCCGTGTTGTGCGGTTGCTGGACGAGTTCGCCGACATCTTCGAGTCACCTACCGGTGTGGTGCCGGATCGGCCGATCTCTCACGAGATCATTCTTGAGGCCGGTGCCGTGCCGCCAAAAGGTTGCATCTATCGGATGAGCGAGGAGGAACTTGAGGTCCTCCGCGCACAACTCGATGATTTGCTGGCCAAGGGCTTGATCCGCCCTAGCAGCTCCCCATATGGAGCACCAGTTCTCTTCGTCAGGAAGAAGAACAAGGATCTACAATTGTGTATCGACTACCACAAGCTCAACGCGCAAGCCGTCAAGAATGCGGGGCCTCTTCCTCGCATCGACGATCTTCTTGAGCGACTGGGCGGCGTGAAGTATTTTTCCAAGCTGGATTTGAAATCAGGATACCATCAAATCTCGATCCAACCGAATGATCGCTATAAGACCACGTTCAAGACGCGGTACGGGCATTTTGAGTGGGTGGTCATGCCTTTTGGCCTCACCAACGCCCCGGCGACCTTTCACGTGGCCATGACCAAAGAGTTTTGTGCAATGTTGGACCGGTTCGTGCTGGTCTACTTAGACGATATTCTCGTCTATAGTTGGTCATTGGAGGATCATCTTGGGCATTCCTGACGAGTGTCAGGATATCATCAAATCTCGATCCAACCGAACGATCGCTATAAGACCACGTTCAAGACACGGTACGGGCATTTTCAGTGGGTGGTCATGCCTTTTGGCCTCACCAATGCCCCGGCGACCTTTCAGGTGGCCATGACTAATGAGTTTTGTGCAATGTTGGACCGGTTCGTGCTGGTCTACTTAGACGATATTCTCGTCTATAGCCGGTCATTGGAGGATCGTCTTGGGCATTTTCGACGAGTGTTGGAGACACTTCGTCGTGTCAAGTACAAGGCCAACCGTGACAAGTGTGAATTTGTCCGGCAAGAGCTGGAATACTTGGGCTATTTTGTCACACCGGAGGGCATCAGACCACTACCGGATCCAAGAGGGGTACTTGTTTGTCCACACACGGGGGAAGGACCTTCTTTGCGTACCAAGTGATCCTCACTTGTGTACACGGCTTCTTGGCGAGTTCCACGATGCTTCCGCCACCGGACACTTTGGAGTCAATCGCACGATTGGCCGACTTCGCCAGCGATTTTGGTGGCCCGGCCTTCTCGGCGACGTCACGCGCTATTGCGAGTCATGCGAGGTTTGCCGACGCTGCAAATCCCGCAACCATCGTCCGTACGGCGAGTTACGACCATTGCCAGTCCCGTTGAGGCGAAGGGAAGCGATTGCCATGGACATTACCGGCCCGTTCCCCAAGCACAAGACCAGAGTGGATGGGATTCTCACGGTGGTCGACCGACTCACGCCATGTTTTTGCCTTGTCGCTATCTAGCCGAGGTTCTTTACGCCGGTTGGATTCGAACCAAGGGTTACCCCAAGGAAATCGTCTGCGACCGCGACACTCGGTTCATGTCCGATTTTTGGTTGGCGCTCATCAAGCGATGGGGCTCATCTCTCAAGCCCAGTTCAGCTCGCCACCCTCAGACCGAGGGCCAGACGGAGAGGGCGCATCAGACCGCACAGGTTCTTCTTCGCACTCTCATCCACCCCGACCAGAAAGACTGGGTTGAGCGACTGTCGGACGTCGAGTTGGCCTACAACTCTTCCATCCACCGGGCTATTGGGATATCGCCCTTCGAGTTCGAGCACGGCTCGCCGGTCACGTCACCGTTGGACACTATTACTCCACGCACGGCCGAGAGCGACGACCATCTTCTTTTCTTGCGTCGGATGCAAGAAATTCTTGTCAAGGCACGTGACCAGATGGCTAAGACGCAGCAGCGCATGAGCCAACAGGCCAATCGCCAGCATCTTCCTTGTCCATTCCGCGTCGGGGACCTCGTCTGGGTTTCCGCAGCGGAATTCAGCCTTGAACAAGACATCTCTCGCAAGCTCCTTCCGAAATGGATGGGGCCTTGGCCGATCGTAGCACCCGCTGGGGACGCACCCGAAGGACCATCCTTCACGATTCAGCTGCCTGGCCACTTGCCCGTCTACCCAGTCTTTCATTGCTCCAAGTTGGCTCTCTACACGCCAGCGGAACATGACGATTTTCCCGGGAGACGTACTCAAGACCCGCCTTCTATGGACGGTTTTCAGGAGGTCGGCGACATCATCTCCCAGCGACGCTACGGCAATAAGCCAACTGAGTATTTGGTGCATTTTGCATACTGCACACACCGAGCTGACCGTTGGTTAACCCGTGCGAAACTTCAGGCAACAGCTCCGGACGTTCTCGCACGCTATGAACGCAAGATGCAAGGCAAACCGGTTTCTTCGGCTCCACGCCACGCCCGCGTCCAGGTTCCGCCTTCAGATCGTCGGCTTCGCCCTCGCCCCGGCTTGACTTCATAAGGAGGGGGGGGTGTTACATGCTGCGCCTGCACACGCAGGCCATTTTTCAGGCCCTGCGCCCTTTAGGCCGAAAGCCTGAAATCCAGGGCTTACAGGCCCCACGTCGGTTCAGCCCGAAAGCCTGAACTTCAGGGCCTACAGCCCCTATGTCGGTTCAGACTAGAAATGGCAACAATCTTTTTAGCCTGAACCCAAGGGCCATTTTCGGTCGTTCATCAGAACGACCGGCCTTGAAACTCAGGCACCGAACCAGGGTTTCGGGAACAGGCTATTCTTAGCCTGTTTCCCACGCTAGCCTCAGCAGGCTGCTGCACGCCAGCCCCTGGCACACTTYGGCATTGGCAAGAGCTGCCTCCTCGGCCTGSCTCGCCCTCCAGTAGTTAGGAGGCAGGCCGAGGTAGTACATAGGGACTTCCCAGACACTTCCCAGGTAGGCAGTCGGCAATTGTAGTCTTCAGGATTCGGGAGCAGCACTCTTGAGGGAGCGTTGCAGAGTAGTAGTAGTAGCGTTAGCTTGTAGTCTTCAGCGCTGGGCGCAGTAGGTAGCTGTAGTCTCCAGCACTGGGCGCCATAGCTAGGTAGTACTAGAGAGAGAGAGAGAGCTTGGGCGGAGGCCAGAGGTACTTACCTGCAGCGCCGTTGCTCCAGCTTCGTCTTCGAGGTACCTGCAGCACAGCGCCAACATCASAGGTWAGTATCTGGCTCGTAASAGTGAGAAAGAGAGAGTTCTTCKYCTTCCTCTTCTSAGTCCACCAKCTCCTTCTCCCCCTCTCAACTTCTGACTTCACYGCATCTGCAGACTACGAGAGAAGAGAGACAGAGCTTGGTGACATTGGATCCAGACTCGACTTTTGGGACTTCAGACATGGCAATGAGGGATTATTTGGGATTGGTGACAAAGACTTGGTGTYGATGACATTCCCATCTCYCTSCCTCCTTTCGTYTGATCCCTTCCTCTTCGTCTGTGTATGTCTRGACCTGGCGCTTTCTTCCTGTGTACAGCGYCAGGCTCCYTCACACCTGGTGATGGCTATGATGCATGTTTGGTCTGAGTTCAAACATTGATTGGGCTAGTTATTAGTATTCTAGCATTCTGCTTCGCTACTTGAATGAGGTCAGTCCCGGTCAGGTCAGTCTTTGTATCTAAGTCTTCCCTGCGCTATTCAGCACCTTTTGTATGTATGAGAATGCACATTGTCTGTCGAGATTCTACTCGCACTGCATTGTCCATTCTGTCCTTTTCATCACATTGCAGATCCTCGGTTATTACGTACATCACGTATCTGTGCATGTGACACTCTCTCTCTCTCTCTCTTTCTCTCTTTCTCTCTCTCTCTCTCTCTCTCTCTCTCTCTCTCTCTCTCTCTCTCTCTCTCTCTTTCTTTCTCTCTCTTAGCGCAGCCCTCTTCGCTCTGCCCCTCACTACAGCGCACAAGTGCACCTGCATTTCCACACTTCTTGCGAATGAGCAATCTGTCTGAATGGTAGGCTGGCCAGTCCTTTTGTAGTCTTGGATTGCACTTCAACTCATGCCAGCCTCTGCTTCCTGGCGCCTGACTGGGTTCCGGTACCACATCCGCACGGCCTGTCTGCTTCTGAATGTGAAGGCCTGGAACCTTCCCGAATTTCCATTGGTCTGCTGCTGCTTGGGCTTTTGAGTCGTGACTTTTTGATTTTGGCATATGGGTTTTGACTGTGGACTGTGACTCCTGGGCTCCTGGACTGTGACTCCTGCCTCTAGGACACGGCTCTTGCCTGTGGAACTGCCCTTTTACTCGTGGGATGTGACTCTTCAATACGACTTTTCATTTTGAGACGTGACTCTTGCCCCTAAGATGTGACTGTTTGCTGGGTGCCTGTTGGATTGGACTGCTGAGATACCCGACTGCGACTTTTCTGAATTTGATGAACTCGGCCTCTCTTGACCAGGGCCTCTGACCCTGAAACCCGAATTTGGGGCCTGAATCGTGGAAGGCCTTTAATTTTCATTATGGTGGTTGCCCGACACCTGCCTATACTTGCTGCTACCTGCCCCTGTGTTTTGTCTGTCCTCCTCATGTGGCGTTCCAGTTGGTATTGACTGTGTCACGGTACTCGCAGGTTCATTGTCGAGTGCGGTGCGCACCGTTCTCGCAGGCAGGATTGATGGTCCAGTGACAGCTAGGGGCATGCGGGGCAAGTTTTGTCCCGTGACAGTCCACTCTGGCGGTGCCGTCTGTGTGCTGGATCCATTTAGGGATTTCGTTCGAGCCGTGAGATTCCTAATCCCCCTGGCCACGTGAAACCACTAGTCTGTTGCCAGGTACCTACTTATCGATTTACACTGTTGCAGATAGATTTTGTTTCCATACCTCAATCTGACCGCACTCCCTCTTTCCCCCCCTTCATCCTTTTCCCGCCTCTGTCACTTCCTGTAGTGACAGTCCCCTGTCTGGCTTGTCTGTATTTCCACAATCCGTGAGGGCACGGGTTCTGTGGCTTGTTCTTTTGTGTTGTCAAGCACGTTGCTGCGTGTTATGCATAGTGTCTCCCCTGTTGGGCAGGGGGACTGTTCCTGTCTGTCTTGGAGCGGCAGTTGTTCGCCTTGGGCTGACCCCTGGGTCACCAGAGAGCTTTGTCTTTCACGTAAATCCCGGACAAGGGAAAACAAGAAGAAAGAATACCAAAGGACAACCACAAGAGCAAAATGCAAGCACACTAAGAAGAGAAGAGTGAGAACCAGACGAGAAGCAATAAAAGGGGACGTAAGTCAATGGGAGGTTTTAGTAGAAAGGTCATGAAAATCATAACGAACCAAACTCAGAGATATACAAGTCTTTGACGAGCAACAAGCTATAGAACACACGTGGGGCTGGGGAGGATTTGCAAGCAAAGGCCACGAATGCAATGCAAAGTTCCATTTAGTTATTCTTTCAACTCTCAGTAGTAGTAATATGGCTTCTTATCTCCCTATGGCATTACAAAGAGCTCCCCACACTTTGTAGAGAGAAGCATTCATCATTACAACTGAAATCTTTGTACAGAATGTGCATTCAGAGTGTTTTCTCTCTCTCTCTCTCTCTCTCTCTCTCTCTCTCTCTCTCTCTCTCTCTCTCTCTCTCTCTCTCTCTCTCTCTCTCTCTCTCTCTCTC